AGTAGTGGGAGAGGATTTGAAAGAGAAATACATATTTCACCCTATTCTCCTCCTAAATATTCTTCACTGATACAAGCTTGTGATAATCCAAAAAATGACAAGCAATTAATCGTCACAATGTGATACAGTTTAAGAGTTTTGCTCTTTTTGCAATTGAAAAGTGAGTGGCTCACAATTTTACTTTACAGTTCAAAAGAATAACAGTGTCATGAACAATTACTCTTTAGGGATTTCCCACAATTTCTCTCCTTATTTCCACCACGCTGGGAACAATCAGGAAATTGTAGGTAGTGAATCCTTGTTCTTTCTGAGAAGTCCACATCTTTCTAGTAGTATTGCAGTCTTTCCTCTGATTTATAGTGGCACAGAGGAAAGGGCGTAGGAAGATCACTAAGGTAATATGGTGGAAGTTAGTCAAGTAACTCGTTTCAAGGTATACAAGATGAGACTGTAATTAGCAGACATACTGAATCCAAGGCAAACAATGGGTTATTTGATTGTCCTCCTAGGCTGATGGCACCATACAAAAAACAAAACAAAACAACTGGTATTTGATTTGATAATAAAATAAACCAAAGGTTTGCTACAAGAAAACATGCTTCAGTTGAAAACTAGTATAGCGATTCTCACTTCAGGGGAAACTCTCATCTTGTCCCTCTTACTTCCTCTTCCACCGTAAGTGAACATATATATTCTGGAAGGTTGTTTTTAAGGGTCAGCTCAGCTCAATGTCAGAATTTTGATGATTCATATAAGAAAGACTTTATGAGCCATACCAATCAGCAGTCTCTTCTCCATTCCCAGGCAAACTTCTTGTATAGCTTAAGTTAAGCTCTTCTAAACCTAATAAGATGCTTTTACTTTTTCATATTTGTGAGTAGTGTGTAGATAATGCTGGTTAAACTGTTGGTTCATAACACCAACCAGCATAAATTCCTTATAATTCCTATATAATTAACCACATTATCATATGCTCTGACATCATACAGAGTAAATTTAAGTACAATGCTGAAAGGTGGGATTTTTAAAGGTTTACTATCAAGACTTATCCTTATTACAAAGGAAATGCAGAAATGTAGGTGCATTTAGGTAATTTAGAAAATCTTTAACTCTCCTTGGTTTAGCAAATAATAAGAAAAATTTAGACCAATGAGAAAAAAATAAACTAAGCAAATTCATTTGATTTCTTCACCTAACTTTTCAAAAGTTCTACCAGAATTTCTATTGTCTTCATCTGACATTAGTTTCTTAGTAGACTTGAGAAAAGCATGGTGATTTTGCAGTTGAGAGAGAGCTATAGATTCAACATTTTTTTTTAAATCTGAGAGGCAATCTTAATTAAAAGATTCATATATGTTATAAGGTAGGAAAAGGTAGGAAGTACTTATTTTTTGAGAGACTTAGGTAAATTTAATGCAAACTATAAAAAGTCTGTTTAACAGATAAAAGTGTAATCACTGCAGAGAATCCAAGTTTTGAATAAAATAATATCTCTTTTCCTTAAAATGAGAAACTTTTCTAGCCACCGCTTAGAAAGTTGCATTTAGGAATAAAGAACTATTTCCCAAATAATACAAAGTAATGGGGGAGGGAAGATAGGAGAATAAAAGCAGGTATTTCCCAGAAATGTGATTATAACCACCGACCAGAGATACGGAGAGGCGTCACCTCAGTGTCACCAACCTCACGTACTTTCCTAACTGGCTTCTGCTACTAAGGTCCAACATGTTGCTTTTCTCTGCTAGCTCCAAAAGGATTTTATTTTATTTTATTTTAAACTAAATGTCTGTTAATCCGATGCCTGTATGACTCTGTACTGTTACTTTTTTTCTGTTTTTATCTTGCCTTAGTTCACCTATTCAGAAATGAACTGCTTTTTCTAGTTACTGAGAATATACTTCAGTCAAACCATGATGGAAAGATACCATGTATCATCAAGTTACTTCTCCTGAAAGCTCAGTTAAAACTACAGAACTCTCATGTTTAGGATATCGGGGAGTAATTGATCCTAGGGGCTGGGCTCTACTTTCCTTCTTTAAAGGGTTCATGTAAGTTACTTCTGGGTGAATGGTGTTTTCCTCTTGAACCACTGCTTCTGAATCTGAAGCAGAGCAGCCGGCCTGTCATTTAATCATGACATCAGACTCATGACATCAGAATGAGTCTAATGGTACAGTACTGGAAAAAAAGTCGTATGTGGGTTTTCAACTACTTTGTCATCTTACACATTGCCATTATAACCTAATTAATGATGATTTAATTTTTTATTTTATTGTCTCTCTGTATGATATGAAATCACCAATTATTCCACTGTAATGGTATAGGCAGCCTTAAATCTAGGGCTCTTTGTACACAGAAAATAAATCACTTTTGTCTTCTAACTTGCTCTCTGTACTCATGAAATGAAAAATGAATTTTATTCTTTTACATATGCCTTCTTTTCATTCCTTTGAGGTGTACCATAACTGATATTAAAAATTGAGTGATTCTCAAATAAAAATAAAACTAGAATTTCTAAACCTAAAATCAGATTAACTTTTACCTTTGGTTAGGTTGCTGCTCCTGTGATAATTCATTTTTAAGAGTTCTATTGAGAATTTTAGTGTACAGGAGCCCCCAGTAAAATTTCAAGTGGGAGACAGCATTTACAACTGCTGGGGCATATAAAATTTGGAAGAGGAAACTGTATATTGCCTTTTAAAAATTTATTTGAGACAGAGTCTCCCTTTGTCACCCTTGGTAGAGTACCATGGTGTCATAGCTCACAGCAATCTCTCACTCTTAGGCTCAAGAGATTCTTTTGCCTCAGCCTCCTGAGTAGCTGGGATTACAGGCACCCACCACAATGCCTGGCTATTTTTTAGAGATGAGGTCTTGCTCTGGCTTAGGCTGGTCTCGAACCTGTGAGCTCAGGTAATCCACCCTCCTTGGTCTCCCAAGTGTTGGGATTACAGGTGTGAGCCACTGTGCCTGGCTATACTGACTTTCTTGAAGGAAAAATTTAAATGTGTACTTTGTCTCTGAAACTCTTTTGGTGAGGAACAGCCCTTTTTTCTCTTTATAGCTTTAAGAGGATCATGAAACCATGCATTTAAATATTTAAGCTTCTGTCAGGGTACACTCAAAGTTATATAAGCCTTATTTTTGAATATACTATGCCAATAAGACAACACCAGAAAAGAAATACATTCTATCATTGTGTTGTGTATGAAAAAATAATACTGATTAGGGTCTAGTATCGTAACAATTGAAGAAAGACCAAACTGGCCATAGGGTACATTGAAGTCAAAACACTGGGAAGTTCAAATACCAGAAGTCATCTATAAGACTTTATGTGTGTTGTCATAAAGATTTACTAACAGAGAATGAAGCTGAAAATCCAAATGGCTCTGAATATATATTAGTACCACCAATTTTATTTGCACAAGAAAGACTGGTCCACTGGACTTCTTTATGTAACTCAGTAATAATTAATGCTATTTCTCGACAGACCAGTAATATTTCCCCATAGTTTAAAGTATAAAACCCAGAATAGTTAGGAAAAAAAAGTCAAGTATAAATAATGCAACCTTTAATTTACCAAGGGTCACTAAATTATTACCACTGATTATTATAAATGATTCTATTTATTTAAACTAAAAAAAAAAAAACAGTAATTAAATGTTTCCTCTTTAGTTTTGGGCCAAGGGATATGCTTAGCAAAACATGAAAAAGCAATAGAAGCCACAACGTATGATTCTTTGCGGGGGGGGAAGCCAAAATTCGATTTATAGAGGGAACAAATTTGGAAGCTTGTCAGAATAAACATGGAAGAAACTAAAAGAAACTACTTGTCAGTTAACTGCTAACATTTTGGTAATAACTTTACTATGTCTGCTGGGATGATGAGAGGGACGAGGGAAGACTGGAAGACATGGGCGAAGGGCAGTGACCACACGGTTTGAACACTAAGCAAATAATAAGAGCTGCCTTTCCACTTATTCCTTTCAATAGAAGTATATTTACTTTTATGAATCTGCTGATGTTGATTTTGAAATCTTCATCTGGGACTGGTAGGGGGTAGTAAAACACTTTATCTTTTTCCTGGAATTTATACTTTGTTAGGTAATGAAATGTTAAGTTTAACATCTTCAAGAAAGTAAAATCCCTATGGTTTTGGGCTTACTTGGATGACTATGGAACAAGGGAAGAATAAAGACAAGTGGAAATGGGCACTGTGGGCAGTTCATAATACTCTGAAATGTCTAAGAAATATACTTTTTAGGGCTCAAAGGAGCAGGGCGCCAGCCCCATATGCTGAAGGTAGGGGGTTCAAACCCAGCCCTGGCCAAAAACTGCAAAAAAAAAAAAAGAAATATACTTTTTATGTATGACCAAGTTCAGACCCCCCAAATTTTTAAAGTAGGTTTTCTGTCATGGGATGGCATGAAATTAAATTTTCATCCGTAAAATTGCTGGGAGAAATGGCTGCCAAGGTCTTTCATATCAATGTAATGTGAAAGAGGAAGGATAATTTGTTCCATGTGCTCAAAAATATGATTTCCCCACAAAAGACTTTTAATTTGAACCAATTCTGGCTGAAGTGGTTGAGCTCAGAAGAACTATCTAATAAGGGTGTAGAGACTCTCTGAAATAGCTATCTTCTAATTCAGAGTCAGTAAAGGTTACACTACAATACCCTACATGCTGTAGCATAAGGCAGAACTTCAGTTGTTCAGTTGTTACAGTTGAAATATGGCAAATGCATTCCACATCTGTTTCATAAAAAATTTAAAAAGTATCAGAACCTCTTCTGTGAAGTTCAGCTGGTCATATGGAAGTGTGAGGATGCCTTGTTATGAGAGATATGCTTAGGACTCTAATGCAGCAGCAACTCAGAAAGTCAGTAATGAAACTTTGGCTTAAAATTAAAAAGAAAGAAAAAAAAAAGTCAAACTGGTGCAAGTTGTCTCCCAAAAAAAGTACAGTGGGACTGACCTTCATAAATGTCATCTGACATTAGTTTCCCCTGTCTTCTTTCACTGATACCACCTTCATTGCACAGGAATTATATCATTCTCTTATGGTTAAGTTTCATAAATAATGAGAAAACTATATGTAACAAATACATCATATTCCCCACCCACCCAGCCACCCCCCTAAAATAAGAAAAGTTACATCAAATTAAAAAGTAGCTTCATGAATGAAGGTACTGCTCTAAGTTGCACTTTTCCTGCAAGTGCAGCCAGTGCCTTTGCGCTGGATATGAAGGAAAGGAAAAAATTCTCCACATAAACTGACAAAAAATTTAAAAACCAATGTCCGGTTTCAACCAGTCAAAACCGGGCCCAGCAGAAACCAAGCAGTCTCGGAACCATCCCATCACAGGGTCCCTGCAATGCCTGTTCTTCATCCTGATAGGTATCTGTGTCCTTGTGATTGTAAACAATCCGTAAGATACTATGTTTTTGTTCCTTAAAACATCCTCTGATTGGCAAAATGAAGTAAATATTGTTTTAAAAATAGAAAATTAAAATTAAACCAGAAGAAAAGAAAAGAAACACAGTGAGCTTGTTTGGAGTCCATAGGATCCGATCTGGAAGAGCTCGGAAAATGTGTTACGTGTTTTCTCCTGTTTTCAGCTGGAAAGGTACTAGAGGTTGCGTTGGTCAAGAACAGAACTGTAGAGTAGGAAAACCAATGATGTTAATTTAGACTTCAGAGAATTCAAGTGTTAGCTTCGTCATCTGTATCTTCTATCAATACCTTAGTGTCGCGAGCCTTGGATCTAGTGGTAATAAAGGGAAAAGAAGAACTTAGTCCATTTTAAAAATACATAACACATTTGCAGTATTAGGTACATTTCCAATTTTGCCACCATTAAATATACTCCCTAAATAGGTACTATCTACTGTTCCAGATGGATTATTCTTGGAGCTTCCTATTTAATTTCAAGTATGTTTGGACAAATACTAAGAAAGTAGAAGAAGGTAACAAGAACAGCAGGTCATGCGTAATGCAGAGAGTAGGAACTTAGAATAAGATCTGAATTTGAGTACTGGCTTTGATTTTCTCATGCATCTCTTTGACTTCTTTGAGTGCCTGCTTCCATCTCTGTAAAGCAGGAAAAACACTTATTTCACCTAATGCCATTTTTGCCTCAGGAAGACAGTGTCTATATCAAGTGTATATCAATTTTTATACCCATGGGTGTAAAAATTATCACTAAAGTATTAAACAAATGTAAGGAATTATGATGGGGAAGATGGAAATAATACCATTTAAAGTATGCATGGAAAGCCAGGAGAGTGAGCCAGCAGAAGACTTAAGGAAGTAACAGTTGTTTGTCCCACAGGTTGCCCATAAAGTTGTCATACATAAGGAAAATGGGAAATTGTAGCTAAATATACCTTTATTTACAAAATATTCATTACAAATTTTACAAAGAGGTGACCAACACATAGAGAATATTTTGTACATATTTTATAATTTTTCAATGACTATCTTATAAATAAAGATATATATAGCTACAATTTCCCATCTTCCCTCTGTATGGTGACTTTGTGGGAGACCTCTGGAACAGCACGTAGATGACAAACTGTAATGCAGAAGAGGAAGGAGACTTGTTATAAGTTATGTAAGAACCTAAATAGGATAAAGTGGTTGAAGTTATAGTGAAATTATAACGAAGCATCTTTTAGCCCAACATAACCTATCTGCCACTAGAACTATATAGCAATAAAATTAGATGTCTCATATGGTTATGAACTTTATCATC